CAACCTCCTCACAGGACACAAATTTACAAATGTGTTTGGTCATAATTCTCTAAACCCTAATCTTCCCCATAAGCTAAGCACATCTAATACTGTGGAATGAGCTGAGCTACTCAGCCATGTCAACATGACCCCAATTCACAAAATGGCCCCAGGCCCCAGTGAGCAGGATGTATGGCTTTCCTGAATCTGTTGCATTGTATTCATTTTTAGGAGGTCGTAACTATGAGTGTTCTGTTTGCTTTCTGTCATATACATCTGTCACCTTCTCTCATTATCATCTCATTTTCACAGTAACAATTACGTATGTATATAGAAATGTCTCTACATTGTCCTCTATCATTAGATTTTTCACCAGTTCTTCTTTTCCATGATTTTAACTGCTACTTTTCAAAGGTTTCCTTGTACTCTTTCTTCATTTCTTCAAATTATCTTTCCCCATTCATGGTTTCCATTTGATTTCATCTTTTGCTGCTTGTCTGTGGTCTTTCACTTATTTATTTTTGCCTGCTCAGGTAAATTAAAACTTGATTTATTCAAAATGTCTACTAGGTCCTGGGCAAAACTCCATCTTTCTCCTGCACCTCTGGAACAAAGATGAAGCTGAATACATTTTGTTGCCCACCTCACCTTCCGTTTTCTCTCCCTTTTGGCCTCGTGAGTCATTTTTTGAATGAGGAGAGGCACAGCCAGTGTTTGGTTGGTTGTGGTGGCTTGTGTTTCCCCAACATGGAATTAGTAGATTAGGATGTGATCTTCAGCCAATGGGCAATGTCATACAGGTATAGCAAGAAGCAAAGTGTTTTTATTCCATGTGCCTTTACTAGACAGAAGCTGAGCTAATGACCTTCTCTGCCCATTGCTTGATGCTCTCAGTCTAAGCAATTTTATTTCTGAATAGCAGGAAGGACTCTGAAGCTTTTGGTGTGAGAAGTGGGATACAGGGAGCCCCTGGCAAACCCTGATCTCATTCTTGCTGCTACTGCTGCTTGTGATTCGCTTGCATCCTAACATGCAATGCCACTCCACATCCCTGGGAAGGAGAGGGACTCACAGTACTGCAGGGAGAAGGGAGGCTGATGGAGGGGATAGAACAGGTGACACAGAAAGCTTCTGATGAGGAGGACTGCACTGGGACACATGGCCTCACTACTGCCTGGGTGGGCCTGAATCAGCTGCTGAGGGCTAGGAATGAATTTGTCCTACATTTCTTGATTCAGCCCATTTAAACCATCATTAGGGACAATTACCTTAAAAGGCTCTTAATTAGTATCGGAAACCTTAGCTTCCAACACAATTGCAAATGCGCATCTGTGCGCTTGATAATATTGTCAGTGGAAGGTTCTCTGCCTTCACAAGATTCCTCTGTTTCTGGGGGTGAATTTGTGCTTTCCTGGGGGAGTCACGATCCCAACCAGGAAGATGACATAGAATTCCACAAATTGGCCAGAGACTGACTTACAGTGGTTCCCATGGGCTGCATCGGGCTAGAGAGGCCTTGGGCCCCCCTACTTGCTGCTCCAGCATCTGGCTCCCATCTCTTCTGCAGCCGAGTCTCTCCTGACTGCTCATAATTCCAGTCACACATTTTTCCTGTGTTTGTGTCTTTGAACTTCTACTCCCTTGGTTTAGAACTCCATTCTCCTCTTTCTGCCTTGAGGTGGCCTCACCCCCAGAGGCCTTCCCTGAGGATGCCCTGCCTGGAATTGCCTCATCCTTTCCAAAGATCACATTAGGGCATTGAGGATTGTTACCTACCGACATGCATGGCCCCACCAGACCATGAGCTCAACAGAGCTATTGGTGGCTGGACGTTTGTGATCCCTCAAATCTATATGTTGAAGCCCCCGAGAAAATGGCATTTGGAAATGAAGTCATGGGTGAGACCCCCATGATAGGAGGTCTGTGTAAAAGCCTGAGAGCTGTCTTGTCCCTTCTGTCACATGAGGACACAGCAAGAGGAGGGCATTCTGCAGGGCAGGCAGGGCAGCCCTCATCATAGCTCAACCGTGGGCACCCTGATCTCCAACTTCAGCCTCCAGAACTGTGAAAACTAAATGTCTGTTGCTTAAGTCACACAAGCCCTGCTCTGTCTTTCCTCACTATCATTACGGCAGCCTGAGCTGAGAAAGGCAGAGCCTCCGATAGCCTGGATCCTGGCACTACATCTGCTGAAAGGTGGCTTGCCTAAAGAAGGAAAGAATGTGACTGTCATCCACTAGTGCCCACACTAACAGGCTTCTCCAGATGTGGGTAGAGTGGTGGATGTCTACCATTATTTTCATCAAAAATGATCCCAGTATGCATCAAAATAAAGTCCTTTGTAATATTTACCAAGTATTAGATGGCTTTCAAGTCCATTCAAGTCATGCTCCTTTATCTGGGCCCTTGTGCGATTCAATTAAGTCTTTATCAATAGCAAACAGGGCGGGGGAGGGGTACACGTGTCTACCCCAGTGAGCCATAAGTGGTCAGCAAACAGCCTGCTTATGCAGTCAAAACAGCTTGCTGGGCACACATCACGGGGCATGAATTGCCACCATCCCGAGAAGATCCCTGTGCATTTCAAAAGTACTTAAAGAATCAGTATTCCATGAAAACTACTATTCTATCCAAGAAAAGAAAATGAGCCTAGCCTAATAGCCCTGTTCAAAATGAGGGCTTCTGACTCGCTTTTCCAGTTCCACGGGAATTCTAATTATGCTTCTTTGACTGATTTGAAGGGAATCAATAAAATACACTGATTCCCAGGCCACTTCTGAATCTAAAATGCATAACAAGATTAATCAATGTAATACATCAATCATTTAGTGTATTTATAATTATATATTCTCTATAATACACACTTGCATAAATGTATGTATTTATACATTTATGAAGTAGAAATTTATGATGTAAATATAATAAAGTTGTTAATAATAGAGATTTAATAGCAATTTTAATAACAACGTATCTGAAAAATTACCCGCAAATGTTTTAATGAAGTGTTTTCTGGCTAGCTGTGATAACATTTAAGATGATGATTTTAATCCTGGACTTGGGGTTCACCCTACTCACACCTTTACTTGCTTCTGTCCCAAGCTCTCTGTTAAGCAGTCAATAACCTATTTAAAAAAAAAAAAAAAAACCTTAACTATGTTCTTTGGACTGAGGAACAGTCAATAAACATACTTTCCAAAAGTGGGAAATTTCCAAGAATTCTGAAATTCATCCAAAAAATGTAAATTTTAGTGAAGCAACTCAGAAGGTTCCATCTGAAAACAAATGCATTTGACTGTTATTAAGCTGCCTTTGGGGTGGATACATTTCTCCCCAAAAGATGAAAGTAAAAAACTGCAGGTGGTATATTCATTTGTGGTCCATAGGTCAAAAGTGAAACAAAACAAGACAACAAAAAGAACAGGAAAGAGAAAAGGCAAAGATTTGACAAATGGTAGATTAGGTTGGAAAGAAAGGTTATTCTACTATTGATCATGTTTGTAAGAAATATAATTTTATTTTTAAAGGAGATTAGTCCAAAGTGAAAGGGGAAAATTAATGAATGGTCTTTGAGAAAAGCATTAAAGATTTGCCCCAGTACAGTAAGTGACCAATCCCCACAGGATGGAAAAGTCACCATCAGTGTCCCAGCTACACGGATGCTCAGAGCATTCCCAGAAGGAGCTTCCTAAGAAGAAGGCCGAGCATGCTGGGACATATCTGTGACATTCAGCCAAGAGCTCAGAGAAGGGAAGTCCACTCAAAGGTTTTGTTGAACACAAGACTTTTAAAACTCAACCTGCCAGTCACTTTGGTGATGATGCTTGCCAATGCATTAGGAAATTCACATATTATTCTTTCACGTACTAAAGCTCACGGAAAGTCACTGCAGCCTCATATAACGTGTGCCATTAAATGCTCGTCCATCACCATTAAATGAAAGAGGAAACATGACCCCTTCCACGTACAATGCTTATAAATGTAAGCATGTGCAATGCTCAGTCAGAGCTCAATTAATCAGTGGTGCACAATTACAGAGAAGGAAAGGCAATTTCAGTCAAGAACTGTGAGGACCTGGGAGAAACACACAGTGGCCTGTTCTTCCTGACTTATTGCTATGCAAGATTCATAGCTAAGTAGATAAATATGTAGGCAGACAGAGAAGAAAATAAATATATCCCCCACACCAGTGTTGTATTATCCATGGTAACATCTCCTTATTACTAAATTTTAGAGATACATATTGAGATAAGCATGGTAGGTAGGAAATTATAGGAAGATAATGTCATTCTAAAGTCATAAAATATTTCATAATGGAAGGGCTGCAAGACAATTTTGGCACCAGCATCATTTGCTTTTATAATCTGATCATATGTTAAGGTGATTTTAAAAATCAATTTAAAAATTCATAGGATGATTTTCTTCTCCTGTTACAATATAGGTTTATTACACAATCTTTCATCCAGGAATTGTTTCATGGGAGTATGTTCCAGGACAAATGTTCTTTCAGGTCACTAGACTCCAAAGATAGAACAAAATCCATCTTCCAAACAGGGTGTTTTATAGCCCATCTCCACCGTCACCCCCAACGTGAAGGCAAAACTCATGGAAATCCTCTGTGTACCTGCATCATGCAGACCAGCCAGCACCCTTGTGTGCACTGCATCCCAGATAAATGACATTTTTAAATGAGTGGACTGAACAATTAATGCCCCTAGTAAAAGCTGTCAGCAGAAAACTTTATCCAACTCTAAAAATAAAGCACCATAAGTACAATTCTCTGCAAATCCTGCAGTCATGTCCTTGTCTTAAAAATAGACCCTAGGGTCTAAGACAACAGTGGATAAGCTTCTCATGACTTAATTTTTAAAATAAGTTTCATGGGGGGGCATGAAATAAATTATAGGGGAATTTACTAAGAGAACTATGTCATTAAAATAACAGATATTACAGTTTTCAAACTAACATATGACTAAAGCGAGCAAACACACAAGACACAGTGTCACTGTGACTTGGGCACTGACCTGGTACCGGCTGGGGTGCTAACACCACGGTAGGGAGGGGCCTGGAGGCAGGAGCTGGCCTGGTCAGAGATAGAGCTACTTGGTTTGCCAGCAAGTGAGGCTTCTCGTGCCCATGGAACACTCCTGATTCCTCAGGATGTACCCACGTCGAGTCCAGAGCAAAGGAATTATTTAAAAAGATCTGTCCAAAAACAATGTAAGCACTGAATTTAAGGCAAAGCACACCACGAAGAGACAGTTGCATATTGTCTTACACAGTCACATACTGGGCATCCTGCTATTGGATATTCTATGGAAACACTCTTCTAAACCTTCAAGAAAGGGGCTGCCATAACAGTCATCTCTTAGCTAATCACTTCTAGTTCAAGATTGGGCTACTCCTCAGCTACCGATCTGGTAAGTCCAGCCTAACAGTCAGTTCATGGATTAAAGAATCACCAACCAGATCATTACTTCCATGTATTGTGGAACAACTCAGCACATTACTATGTCTTTAGTTTTCAAGTAAGCAAAATGTAGTCAGTAAATTTGAACTAAGCAGACAAAATAAACTACCACCAGAAAGATGAAAATTCAAAGCAGTCATAGCAAGCAAAGCTCACTTTTAAAGTTTAAAACTTGAATTATATAATTTTTAATGATCACATGATAAATGGTGATAGATTCTTAAAATGAAAAAAATTAAAAAGTAGACTGATTCAGAAACTGGAGATGTTAGATTTTTCTATGGAATCCAAGAGTTTTAAGTTATAACCCAATCCCTCCTCCATTGTCTTCTGGTGGTTTTGAACAGGTCAGTCTCATTCTGAAATGATTTCTCTCTAGAACTCAGTGGTCAACTATGGCAATCAGAACTACCTAGTGTTTTCTGTTAACATGGTAATACGGTAATTAAAAGTACAGTTATCCAATTAAAGCACTTGCTTTTACCTTGTAATTAGGCATCCTTTTATCTATCCAACTTTTCCCAACAGGAAGTGGTAGAGCAGAAGGACAGACATGTGGGAAAATGGGCACCAGCTCCACTGTAGAGGAGGGGGTCAGTCCTATGGATGGAGAATGACTGCCAAACAGCCACTGTAACCACCAAAAAGAAAGAGAAGGGAGTATTCATTAACCAAAATCAGTCAACTCTACTTTGTACCAAAAGATACTGGAATAAATGCTTGGGAAAGGGGAGCTTACCATGTATGGATTTGATTATGAGAAAACCCCTTCATTCCCCACTCAAGAAAACTATAAAAATGTAAACTTATAAAAGCTTTAACATCTTAAACATTGCAAAGTGTTACCAACATTGCATTCTTCAATACTGAGAAAGAGCTTCTAAGCCCAGCACCAAGGACAGAGTAGGATATGGGGGTCTACCCGGGGATATAGGGACCATATGGGAAGGAGGAACACCTGCTATTTCTTTTAAATCAGGTAATTCTTTTCATGAGGAAGCATAGAACTGTTTTATGATATTCTTTTCAATAGAACTTTCCATATTAATTACACTGATCATCTTGAAAACACTTAACTGATATTTCAAAATGAAAATAGCTAAGGAGTTATCATTCAAAGTTTCCCAGGTTCATCAATACAAATGGATTCTAGAGCAAAGAAAATACATGTATCACGGAACTGAAGACCCCAGGGCAGAGAATAAACACCAAGTGTTGGAAGGTGCAGACGGCACAAGAGACAGTCTCCCTAGTTAAAATGACTGAGTCCTTATCAGGACAGACTGAACAGGACTGCTCAATGACGTGGACCACTTTAAAATCTATTGTTTTAAAATCATAATGCACGTTTACCTTCCTGATGCAGAACAATATCCTTCTGGTTCTAAATATTGTCCCTTAAACAAGGTTAGCACAAAATATTTAAAAGACTAACACTAAGTTTTTCTGGATATTTCTTTTAAAATTTATAAAAGAAGAAAATGCAGCTTTCTATACAGAAAAAAAAAAAAAAAAGGTAGTTCCTTGACATTATATACCTCTAGTGGCAGAACTGGGATATGACAACCTTCCAAAATAAGGCACAAACCACCAGCGTTTATCCAATAAAACCCAATAGGAACCGCATCACACATCAAAATATGATATCCAGTGCCACATACATACAGCGATGTATTCTTCAGTCTAAATACCAACGCAGGAGGAGATCGAGGATATCCTTTAGAAACGCTCACGAGATAATACTGGAGTTAAATTAACAAAAAGGTGTATTCTAACACAACACTCATTTGAATATGCTAATGAGGTAATCCTTGGAACGAAAAACGTGTTGTCCCCTGACTTAAACACATCTGCATAGTTAGGCGGCCAGCAAGGAATCCTGCCCAAACCAAGCTGCCTTGCTCTCTTGCAACGTTACTCAAAGGCACAGCCACTTTTCTTTTTGATTCCAGGCTTCAAACGCCAAACTCTTCTCAAGTGGAATATGGTGCTAGCGAATTCGGGGGCTCGGGGAGGCCTAGGGCAGAGGGGAAGACCACAGGGTAGCATTTCTCCGCATTAAAGACCGGGATTCCCCGCTGACTTCCGTTGGTTCCGGTTCTCCTAGGCATTGCTCTGAATCTACTTGAAGGAGGGGCGGGGGGAGGGAAAGCAGACCATCATCAGCAATCGCGATTGATTGCCAGCCGGCTTTTCAAGTCGAGCAGACACCGTCAAAGTATTAACTTGGAGAGGCGATGTCAGCCACCACGGTACACGGCTGCAACGCTGAGCTCTGGCGGCGGCGACTTCAGCACCGCGCTCTGGACAGCGACCTGGGCCGGGGCGAAAGTTGTGGCCAACCTGTCCAGACTCTGGCCTGGGGTGGTCGCGGGTTCTACACCGTGCTGTGCAGAGCCCGGGAAGAAACACTGCAAAAACTGCTGCAAGGCAAAACGGGACGTCGAAGCATGAACTTTCTTGCTGATGCATGGCTGTCTGGCTGCGTCCTGGCTGCTTGGGGGAGGCGAGGACCACCGCGGGGAGGAAGGAGCACGAACCGGAGGGTCAGAGCCGCCCTGCGCCTGGCGAGGGCCGCGCCCGGGATGGGGGACAGGAGGGGACCGAGAACCATTACCTGTCCGTGGAGCGGGGGGTAGTGGTGCACGGCGGCGTGATCTGGCGCAGAGGGCAGCGGCAGGAGCGGCAGCAAGGGCTCGCCGGGCGCCTGCCAGCCGGGCAGCCCCGGGAGCAGCGGGGCAGCGGCGGGCTGGACCGAGGCGAGCAGCACCGGCGGGGGCGCGACCCCGGCGCCGAGCCGGAGCAGCCCTGCCGAGCCGGGGACCATCCAAACCCAGGGCGGCGGCGGCGGCGGCGGCGGGTCTGCATTCATCGGCCAGAGGAGAGGCTGTCGCCGCCGGGGCTGCTGTTGCCGCTGCAGCTGCCGCCGCCGCCGCTGGAGCCTGGCGCCCGCCTGCATCCTACATCCCCGCGCGAGCGGCGGCGGGGGCGGCGGGGGCGGCGGGCGCCCGAGGTGCGGGCCGGCGGCGGCGCGGGCTCCGGAGCGAACTCACTTGGTTCCGCGGCGCGGCCGCTCGCTCCGCCCTGCCCCGCGCCGGGAGCCCCTCCCCCTGCCCGTGCCCTCCCCTCGGAGCGCGGCCGCCCGCGCCGCCGCCGCCGCCGCCCCGGGCCCGGCTCCAGTCCCCGCCCCCCGCCCCTGGACCCCCGGAGGCCGCGGGGAGGCGAGGCTGTGCGGGACCTGCTGCGGCGCGCGCGCGAGGGCGCAGGGCGGAGGGTGCGCCCCGGCAGGGTCCCGCGGATCCCGCCACCCTTGCCCGCTGCCGGCTCCGACGCCGTGGCCGGTGGCCTCCGGTGTCGCGGACGGTGCGCACGGCCGAGGAGGCTCCCGGCTCCCGAGCCGAGGCTGAGGTGGCTCAGCCCGGTGGAACTGGGTACGTCCAGCACGCGGGGCGGTGCAGCGCTCTCTACCTGGTTGAATCCCTGTCTAAGGCGCAGGGCGCGGGGGGGTGGGGGGAGTATACTGGGCTGCAGATGCCGACGCCAGACGGACGCCCGGACACTACTTGGCACGGGTCGATTTCTTTCTGGTACAAATACGCCAAACATTTTCCTAAGCCACTGGCGGATACCCCATAGCCTGAAAATTGAACCACTGGTACCAGGTCTAAGATCCTGCATCCCAGATGTCTGCTGACCTCAGTGCCCTCCTCTGCCTCTCCCCTGCCTTGGCGGCTTTTGTCCTCACCCTCGCTCTGATGCACAACACCAGGCAGGTGGCCAGGGGACCTTAGCACAAGACGTTCCTTTCGTGGGTGGGCTCGCCCTCTGTGGATTCGCCCAAGCACAGAACTGTTCTCTGCACACGAGGCCTCTACCGCTGCACCCTGGGCTGCTCAGGGTCAAGGACAGACCCTTGCATCAGGGATCCTCGCCCCACCCAAAGCTCACACTGCTGGTCCCAGCAGAACCTAGCCTGGCTCCGCGCTGGTCACACGCAGTCACCGCCAGGCGGCGCTCGTCTGGGCTGCAGAGCTGTCCATGCTCCTGCTGCAGACTCAGGTCCCTTGGATGCCCAGTCTCCTCCTTCTGCTCCTGACATCAGTCACAATGTTGGCTTCGAGACATAGGCCACCCTGGGCAATGCATGCCGACACCAGGACATGTGCTAATGGACTCCTTAGGTCACTAAGCTGGAAAAACCCAGCCGCATGAACCAGTGCTGATGGCACAGCAAGCAGAAGAAGGTGTCATGATCCATGCCTAGGAGAACTTGAACGGAAGGCCCGCCTGACCTGGGTGGAGGGGCAGTCAGTCCCCATTCATCTATAGCCAGACAACACCTGGGTGATCCAAGCAGCATTCTCTCACATCAATGCCCTGGGCCGCCTTCTGCACGGCCAGCCACTTGGCCTTCCTGATAAAAACTGAAGCACCCAAGTGCTTTCGGTTTGCTTGTAGGGTCATTCCCTCATTCTCCTGATTTGCTTCATTTCCTCCTGGCTTGGCGTGATTTCTTTCAGATGGGGGCATATGTTAATTTACATGGCTGGCATGTCCTTATTTTCTTCGGTGCAAACCACTTTTCAATTAGCAAGTTTATCTCTCTCTTTGATGCAAAAGTACTGGCAAGATGTTTTTTTTCTCACCTAGAATCAGAACGCTGTGCAGATTAGAAGGCTTGGTACCATTCCTTACACCTCAATTCATGTGTGTATATCTGTGCACACGTGTGAGGTAGTGTGACCGTGTTGTCTGGAAGTGCACGGTCAGACTTAGGTATCAGGCAGTCACCTCCAGGCAGACTGGTGTGCCCCTTAAATCGTCCTGTTTGAGCAGGGGTTAGTCATCCTTTCTCTGATGTTTAGAGTTTGTGGACAGAAGACCCCTAGTGGCTTTGTCCGGCCTTCATGCTGCCCTGTGCAAAAGCAAAGCCTATTTGCATGGTCCCCAGGCTCCTGGAAGGCAGGGGCGGGGTAACAGCAGAGATCTGTGGATGCTTTGCTGATTCTCTCTCTCTCTCTCTCTCTAGTACTGCTGTTTGAACTCAGGGCCTTTGAACACTCTAGCTCTTGAGCAGCCTCATTTACTTTAGCTTTTCTCCCCAGATGAGTCTGAGGTTTTTTTTGGGGGGGGGTGCAGACCAGCACCTTAGACCACAATCCTCCTACCTATGCCTCCCAAATAGCTGGGATTACAGGCATGAGCCACCATGGTCCAGCTTATTTTTTGAAATGGGACCTTGCTAATGTTTTGTCCTGCTGGTCTCAAACCATGATCCTCCTGATCTCTGCTACAGATGTGAGCCACTAAGCCCAGCCATACAGTTTCTTTGAGGAGAGGCTTACCCCATTTCTGCACAGTGCTGTCCTTCAGTGGTTATGCTAGTCAACTGGATCTGCAGCAAGTTTCTTCCTGGGCTGCCTGGTGCCCTGAGTTCAAGATGCCATGGGCAGCTCTTGAGCTGCGAAAATTCAAGAGACTACTGTCAAAAAACCTCAGAGTGGCCAACATGTTTTTGCTTTCTCCTGCCCCGGGCTCGGTTGTATCCATGTTTTTCAATGCCCTGAGCCCCCCTTCTGCACCATGCTCCATGCTGGACACTGGGTGACACAGACAAAGCAATTCCCACTAGTCAACTGCAATGGGGGGCTGGACTCAGGAGAGGGGCGGATACCCTCTTGCTGGCTCTTGTTTCAATGGGACTCACTGCAGTTTGCCCCTCACCCCACAACCCAACAACAACCTTGCACCCCCATAGATAGCAAAAGGTTTTCTCATGGACACTGTCATTTCAATGACTGTGTAAGAGGACTCTCCATGAGCCAGCCCTGTGAAGGTCACTTATGTGTCATGAGGATGGCTTAAGGGCAAGGGCAAAGAAGCTGCATGGACGGCAGTGCAAGTGGGTGCAGCCAGGAAGCCAGGAATCTGACCGCCACACCCTCCTTGAAGACCAGAAACTGCCAGAACACCCCCTCCTTGAGCTGAGGACCACAGGTAGGGAGATGTGCACGAGCAGAGGGTGGGCATATCCACTTACTGGTCAGGACCCCAGGGAGGGTGAGGTCTCTAGCACCACATAAACACACGCCCTTTATCTCCCTGTAAAAGTCAGTGAGAAGCTTCTTTTATAAAGGTGTGCAAGCTAGTCTCAAACTCTGTCCAATAAAAACCACCTGAAGTCTGTCCTTACATTTAGACAAAACCAATGCAATTTCCAGTTAAGGTGGAACAGAATCCTGTGTAAGCAGGACGACATCCACAGCCATAGAAAGAATGTGAATTATCTACATATGCTAATGAGCTCTGAATTGTGTATTACTGTTCAGGAAGAAATAAGGAGGATGTTAGCAGGAGACCCGTGGAAAAGGATTCTGCAGGGTGGAGAAGGTATTTTTTAAAAATAGATTTTGTTTCTCTAAGTAAGATCGAAATGAATCTTAAAAAAGAGAAAGATGAAAACACTTCCAGGCCTGCAGAGTTAAAATAAGCACCAGGCAAAGAAGACAGTTCAGGACCCAGACCTCCCTTGGCAGCTCCTGCCCACACCTACTTGCCAGCCATCTTCCCAAACCAAATCACGATCCTCAGGTCCTTCACACTGAAAACTGGCTAACAACTCTGAAGGTTCCTGGAGACACCCGGTAAGATCTGTCCTTGTCATGGTTGGAAAGTGTAGTCTGTGTTCAGGAGCAAGGTGTCAGATGGAGCTGGAATTGAGAGTGGTAGTTGAAGATGTGGACAGCCATCATGGTGAGCACAGAGGGAAGAGGAGAGACCAGTCATGGGATCAAGTGACAGGGGATGATGAGTCTCCCGAATAATCAGGGAGAAACACAAAGCACATAGGGCGGATGGACTATCCTGGACAGGTGGGGCTATGTTTTGATAAATGGTATAATAATTATTATTACAATAAATGGATTACCATAGAAAATACAGAAAAGCATTGTGAATCAAAACTATTCAGGGCAAAGCAGTGTCACCATTCCCTCAACAGTATACTTTCCTGCTAACTTCCTTCTACATATAACATGAACACATACGTGTATACAGATACATTTAATATATCTGATGTATAACATATTGGATTTTGTAATATTGAAATTTATATTAAATTGCATTTTATAACAAGTAGTTTTAATCCAATTATGCATATATAGTCTTGTTTTTCACTCAGTATACCATATTACTGAAAGTCTGGATGAGCCCACTTATCAAGAGCAAGCCCACCGAGACCCAGGGGACTGGGAGGAGACTGGATTCATATCACTGTGTCACATCTTGCCAGCCTGACCATCTGTCTGGATAGGACTGCTCCCCAGACAGACCTCCCCTTAGCAGGTCCTGGGTCCCTGCCTGCTCCAGGAATGGGGCCCCCAGAATGGGGACTCCTGCATGTGTTCTTCCTCTGCCCTTCCCCCTCAACCCCTTTCTCCTTTGTGTCATGGACAATAAGGGGGTGGATTAGAAAAACCACCCAAAAGTCTGTATATTAATCTGATAGGCTGTAGGACCTCAACCCTGAGAGCAGGATCCATACTGGCTGGAACTCAGGTTGGTTTAGAAGGAACCTGAGGCATCCATTCTGGCTCCACCTCTGTGCCCCTTCTTAACTCCTACCACGGTGGCCCTGCCCTTGCCCCAGGAAAAGAGTGCCTCTGCCCTCTGGTCCCTGAGTAGCACAGGACTTGTAGAAGTCTGGGATGAGAGCAGGGTTCCTGCCTTGCTGCTGTGACTCCCTGTCATGGACTCTCTGCACTCTCTTCTGGACACCAGATCAACAGACAGGATGCCTCTGCAGAAGCCCCATCAGCAGTGAGAGGCCACACCCCCTGGCAATCTTGGGGTCAGTGTGGCTGCTGGTTCAGTTAAGCTGTCTGGGCCCAGGTGGGAGGGAACAGCAGTCCCGGCCTCCCTAGGTTTTGTTTTCCTGGGTCTGAAGAGAAGAAAGGGTGG